TTTATTATTTTGATTTTAATTTTGTGATTTTTTTTTTAATTCCGCCTTTCATAATTACCAAAACTTAAAAAAATAAATACTTAGATCAAAATAAAATAAATACACAAAAAAAAAACTATGATCTTATTTTAATCAGATTGGAAAACTATATAAACTACATGTAAGCATAATTTCTTGCCCTCATGAAGTGCCTCAAACACCACAGTGATTTGTTTGTAATTCAAAGCAGTTATATCAATAAAGTTACTGACACAAGTTCAGTTCCTGATTTTAGTTGATACCAATAATTGGACATTTGTGTTGATTTGACGCATTTAACATTCAATTTAGTAATATGCAAGTACATCATTCCAAAGTCATGCCCTTCAGTGACGAAAAGTTTATGGTGTCAAAATTACGTAGTTGAATGTGAGTATTGTCATCACTCAGAACATTATAAATTTCTGAAAAAAAACAAACAATATTTTTATTGATGTCCATAGATCAAAACAACACTTTGAATGGATGCCAGAGATGTGGTTATGATTGACTTCTAACTTGTTCTGTCATTCATAATATGCCTTTGTATTTTATTTGTAGACATCACCAGATAATAATATGCTCTCAAAACTGGAAATTCTGAAAGGAAAACCAATACAAGAAATACACAGCTCCAGATTCTGCCATCCTAAATTGTTGGAAAACTTAAATAAAGTTCAGGATACAGCTCAGGTATTGAAACTTGTATTTTAGTTCTACAAGGTTGCATTTGAGAACCACATTCAATTCAAACCAAAGGTGTTGCAGCATGTTATCACAGAACACTGACAAGCAACATTATTATCCACCATATACTTAAAGCGGGGGAGTCGTCTCCTGCGCACGTGTCAGATGGCCATAGTGTGTCATTGTTTACAAACAATTGTATACTCATGAGCCTTTGTGTTTTTAGCATGTGTTATCGTTGCTTGGGACTCAATTCCAGTGTGTGCGTAATTATCACTACAGAGATAATATGATTTAATAATAAGGTTATCATAAGAATACAGCAAAGTATGTACTCGGGCCATACAGTAATGCATTGATCTCCGCTACACATTGGTAGACATGATCACTGTACTGCCTTCGTGCATACTTTGCTGTATTCTCATAATAACTTTATAGGTTTGGCTGTATATGACTGCATTGTAATTAACTGTTGAATGCTACCAATTGGTTATGAATAATGACAAGATTGTTCGTTGACAGATTTTCAAGCCAGAAAATAAAGGGGCCATGGTGGAACTGTTGTCAAGTTGTGATGAAAAGAAAGAAGGAAATATTTTTCAGATTGTACAATTTGAAGTAGAAAATGTCATGCATGTAAGTAAAAATTCTAATCCAACAAATTCATCAATCTCATTTGAAAATGGTTTTGCCAATGAGCAAAACTAAAACAAACCTGACTGGCAATATTCCTAGGAATAATTACCATATTGCAAGGAGGTTGATAGGATGGTTTTCATGATCAGTAAATTTTGGTGTTACCACCTTTGTTCTGGCCAAATAAAGTAAATGGTGCAATATAACACACAATATAATGACCTGTTGGTAACTTTTTTTTCAGATGTCTACTATAGTGTATTATATAATTCCCTTAGTCTGCTATAGTGTATTGCACCGTGTTCCAAGCAACTACTTCATATTGTTCTTTCAGAAATTCCAAGAGTCTAATATAGAGTGTATTGCACTGTGTTCCAAGCAACTACTTTATATTGTTCTTTAATAAATTCCAAGAGTCTACTATTATAATAGTGTATTGCACTGTGTTCCAAGCAACTACTTTATGTTGTTCTTTCAGAAATTCCAAGAGTCTACTATAGTGTGTATTGCACTATGTTCCAAGCAACTACTTTATATTGTTCTTTCAGATATTCCAAGAGTCTGCTATAAAATGTACAAAAATGTATTGCACTATGTTCCAAGCAACTACTTTATGTTGTTCTTTCAGATATTCCAAGAGTCTACTATAAAATGTACAAAAATGTATTGCACTATGTTCCAAGCAACTACTTTATGTTGTTCTTTCAGAAATTCCAAGAGTCTACTATAGAGTGTATTGCACTGTGTTCCAAGCAATTACTTGATTGGTTGCTATCAGAAGACTGCACTAAAAATCAATTGACAGTGATTAATCCATTTGAGAAAGACCAGGAAGTAGGCGAATCTGATGTCAAAGTTAATCCTTTCTCACTTCTAAGGTACATGTACTTATAGTCTGTAAAAAAAGTCATGCAATTCCTGACTGAGACAAAAGATAATCAAACTTCCTATGTGCAACATGGGTTATAATCTTGAGTACAGTTGCTTTCATTAATGCATTTATCTAGTGAATATATAGCATCTAGAAACAGTTTTCATTATTAATTTGTTTGCGCTTTTTTATTTAAGTTATGGTATTCCAATATTCACATTTGTCATAGTATAACAAGGCTTTATCAGTTCTAAATATGATGATAAATCTACTTTTTATAATGATACTAAAGTTGACTGGCCATTGTTTACTTTAAGAGAGTTTTGTTTCCTTGAGAGAAAACTGTCCCTTTTTCTGTCCCATTCCTGTTTGGCTCTGCCAATCCTAAATTAAACTAGTTACTGTAGGGTATGCATGAGAACAGTTCTTGTTCAAATTCACTTGAGCAGCCCCGCAGTCAGGTTTGCATAAATACAAACTAAAACAGGTCACCAAGAAAAACACATACTGATGGTACAACAACGAATTTATTCTATGCATGATTTACATTCACTCATCTTCTGCCCACTCAAATGCCACTAAGGTTCCTGCTAGAACAGGATGGAATGGGCATGCCTAAACCAGCCATTATCAAATGATTAAAATTTCACCAAATTTGAAGTGTTATTGAGATGTTTACAAATAAATCAAATGTGATTCAAGTCACTTTTATATAGTTTGTTTCTGGTTCATCTGTTTGATCTAAAAAAGTAGAATATAGATTTGCTTAGCATTCACCTACAGCAAGATTCATGATGGGTGATTGTAAATACATGACAATGCCATGATCAGGGCTAAATAAAAAAAAAATATATAAAATGTTCTTGTTCCTTGCACCATAGAATAACTTTGTTGTGGCTATAACAATATTTAAAAGAGCTCAGACAACAGCAAGAAGCAGACATTAACATGGTGCTTCAAATGGAGCAAATGTAATAGTGGCAATTGCTTGAAGTTCAGTATAATTCGTGAAGACATGAACTAATCAGTGTGGATCTATATTCTTTTGTTTGTCTAGATTTTGTTCCAATTGTGATGGGCCATGTGTACAGCTTGTTATCATATGCTACAATAGTAATGAGAAGGGACACTCGTGTATGGAGCTAGAAACTAAAAACAATTTACTGATTTATATTCTCACTGCTTTGAAGGTGATTAATAAACAGCTATTATTTGTAACTGAAGGGGATATGGAGATGTTTCCCTAATTCACACCAATAATTCAAATCTGATGTTGGACAAGGCTGTTTGCTTTCAGTTCCTGTCATCAGTGTATGCGTCACTGCTTATTAAGCCTGACCAATTGACTACTGGGTATCCAAATCACATTTATGCATTTCTTATCTGATGGGATTTGTCAACAAATTAAGGCGTGCCTGTAAAACAATTTCTGATTGGCTGCAAAGAAGTACTGAACCTGATTGTTCTAGTCAATTCGTGTGTTGTAACATACCAGATTGATATTTTGGAGTCAAATCTTTATTAATTAATATTTGTATTTGTCTTATTGAATGATTTCTATAGAATATCAACAATCGACCTGTAGAATTGACATTTTCCCTCCAATATCTATTATCCATGTCTTCATTATAAAATAATACAGATTAAATTTGTAATACTACTGTGTTTTCTTCTCAGACTCTGAATGGTGGTGGAACTCTCATTATCAAAACCAGTACATTTCTAACACGATTCTCAACTGGGCTATTGTATATACTTTTAGCAAGTTTTCAAAAGGTATTTTCTTGTCTTTTTGTATGAATTATGTCACTGATAAGGCATCTGACATGCTAAATTTCATAATTGTAGCAAAGTCTATGAAAACTATGAGCACACTCACAAAACCCTATTGAAAATGTCAATATAATTTAAAAGCGTTACAGATTGTGTTTTGAAGTGTTATGGATATGTTTTGAAATGTTAGTGATGTGTTTAAATAGATGCCAGTAGTTCATTGAAGCCGCAATGGTTAGGTATCACAATTGACAATTTTCTTTTCTCTTCAGGTTAAAGTACATGTTCTGTCGTCTTACCCAGCTGAATGTATTGTTGTTTGTGATAATTACAATCCAAATGATGAATTCACTCAGGTTTGTTTTGCTCCATGCCTTGTACTAAACAAGAAGTGGTTATTTACGAAAGAACTTGGTTATGTTATGTCATTTTTCAGTGCTTATTACCGTTTGTCACTACTCGGCATGATCTGCTCATATATGCAGTGCATTGTGGGAGATCTCCCATTGTTTATAAAAAAAATACTATCATAATAGTTGATGATAATGAGAACTCACTAAATTCTGTCATTTTTGTATCAATAATAATGCAATGTCACTGTAAAATATTGTGATATGAAGAAATATCACAATACATGTATAAGCCTTGGCCAACTTTGCCAGTTTTCCATAACAATGTATCTCAAAGTTGTATGATAACCCAATTTTTGTTTACCATCCTGTCCTGTTTCCTGATTGCAATAGCCAATAACAAAGTATGATGCCCATAACGTAATTGTCAATTGTATTTGAACCTCGTTAGGTACTCACTAGTTACTTTATTTTTATTTCTTTTTTTTAAAGGATTTACTTACTCATTCTGAAGATATTATAAAACAAAAAGCAAATAATGAAGAAAATTATGTCTTGGAAATTTTGCCTATGAAGTGTTTATATGGTAGGTTATTGTGAGGGATTGTGTAATATTGTTTGTGATTTTACTAATGTAAGTCTGTGAAGTTAGTGCTTGTGTGTGGTAACATTGTGATGACTTCAATAACTTTACACAGACTTGTGACGACATGACCTATATTGTGACGGCCCTGACTATTTTCATAACTTGTATTAATTCTTAATCGAATTTAAGTCAAGTTTGTGAAGCTTAGGTTTAGTAAAGAGGAAAGGTATGGTTCAATTTATATAAATATTAATATAATTGTACCATACCTTCCCCCATTACTAAACCTACATGTAAGCTTCACAAACATTTCTATGTTCAGTCACGGGATATTCAACTTTTATTTAATTAAACTTAATTAAAACGCAATTCTATATAGGAATGCGTTTTAATAGAGTTCATATTGCAACTTTATTAAAAGTTAATTTAACTATATTAAAAGTGTGTTACAATGACAGTAAGACATGCCTGTGTGCGTGCATATACACGTTTGTCTTATTAATTTTGTGACGACTCGCATTTAACATCACACCACCTACCGAGTGATGACCCTCACTATTTTCATAATTTATATTAATATTTAATTGAATTTAAGTCAAGTTTGCAGAGCTTAGGGTTGGTAAAGGGGGAAGGGGTAGTACAATTTATATTATATTAATATAATTATATTCTACCATACCTACAATAAGCTTCGCAAATATTTTTGTTAAGTCACAGGATGTATGATGTTATTTCTACTTTGTTAAATTTTTTTTATTTAAACGTGAATTAAAATGCAATTGCATTGTAATTGAATTTGATTAAACTTCAATAAAAACGCAACCCTATATAGTCACAATTTAATCAATACATGATGCAACTACCGGTATATTAAGTCGATCCAATATGTGTCGTCACAACGATTGGAAGACGTGTGTGTGTGTGTCTGTTCCACTGATATCGCAAGAATTATGTTGGTTTTTGATAATACTTGATGTATAGATGCTCTTCGCTAATATGCAAATTTGATTAGCTTTTGCTTTAAATCCATGCACATTAATTACCTAATTTGCATGATAATTCGCCAATTTTTAGCTGTTCCTTTACTGCTTCACTGATACCTAAGGACCACTCAATGGATTTTTATGAAACATGGTATATAGATGCTCTGACTAGTTGTGGGTAAAAATCTGTGCATGTTATTCTCCTTATTTGCATAATTAGTAAATTTTCAAAATATCTGTTCATATTAATTACTTAACTTGCATAATACACAAACCTAAATAGTTTGGGACTGAAATCTATGCATAATAATTGCTTAAATTGCCTTACAACTACCAAATTTTGTACCTAAGTCTCAAAAACCAATTATTGCATATCAATAAGCTTAGTATGTATTATGGGAACAATTATAAAGACCTGATTAGTTTTGGATTGAAAATCAAGCTTACTAATTGTCTAATTTGCATAATGTGCATAATCATCACATTTTATTGAAATTTTGACAGATGCTCTGGGGTAATCAACAGACATGATTAGTTTAATAATGGAAAAAATGCATATGTATTATCTAATTATTAGCCAATTCTGATATCTCAAAAATTTGATTTAAATTGACCTTGTGGTAGAGGTTGCTTTTAGTCAATTGGACTGAAAACCACAGATGTAAAATCAAATGCATTTTCTGTAAGTTTTATAAACTTCAAAATGTCTCAAATCTCAAATAGCAGACAAATATTAGTTACCAAGCTTCATGTTTGAAAGGCTAATCTTAAATTTTGAATTGATGCCCCCAGCATGCGAGAGTTCTTTCTAAGTTTACTTGCAGTTATCAAAACGTCATGCAACAAGTCTTTATTTTTCACAAGAAACTAACAAAGTATGAGCTGGCAGCAATGGTAATTGTATTTTGTTGCATTCAAGGCGATCATAGCATTTACTTGACGATGTTTGTGATTGCCCAGAGTAAGCTTAGATGATTGCTGTGGTGGTTAAAATGTACGATGCAATTGCAATGTAATCGTGATTGGAATAAATGCATTCCACAACCAGAATGTTTTTTTCAGAATATTCATTTTATAATATTCATTTTATTCAAATTTTTTTCAGAATATTCATTTTATAAGACTGTTGTGAAAATCAATGACCATTTATTGAAGATTCAGACTAGTAACACAGTTTATATGGAAAGGACATTTCAAGGAAAGAATGAATGAATTAATTGAATTCACTACAAGAAATGATCAGAAAAGCGACATTAGTAGAAGCTACTTTCTTATCTCCATCAATGTAGTGTGCATGCTTTTTCTAACTTATGATTTCAATGGGTAAAAACCCACAATATTTCTGTAAAGACTATATTTTGCTCATATTCATACAAAGATATTCCAGTTTTAAATGATTTTTGATACAGAATATTTATTTTATGTTTGCTAATTTAGAGCATCTGCATTTGATTTCATTGGAGAATATGCGAATATCATTCTTAGTTATTTTAAAGATATTTAATGTGCAGTCAAAGTGAAGCACATTTTGTTTAGTTTAATTAATTGTTGCTATTTTTTAAACTCGGCAAAGAGATCTCCTATTATTGCTTCAATGGTTTTAAGTATCACTTTTTTATTTTCGACCATTTCAACAGATTTTACTATGGTCAAAAGAATTGTATTTATGTACCAGTATACAATTTAAGTTTCAATTAAAGCTGATATGCCTTTGCATGTTGACCATTGTAAAATGCCACAACAAGTTATTTATTTTAATTGGAAGATTGTGACCTGTTAGTTTATCAAGAAGAATGTATGCACTTTGGCACATTTAGAATTGACCGTCTTCATAAAACAGGGTCACATGCTGATAGTTTAAAACAATGACCACTTTTTGCATGTTCCCCTAAAATATGTAAATATTTATTTTGAACATTGCAGTGCAATGATTCGAATGTAAGAAACTTTCATGTCTTCTCACATATTTTTGAGTAAATGTTTGTTGGAAGTACTCCTAAATGTTGGATGGAACATTCAGCTGAGATGGCTGATGAGTTATTTCTTAATTCTCTATATTATCATACAAACCTCAAAGTACAAGGGTATGTATTTATATAGTGTATATTTTTGGTTGCTGACATAGAAAAAAGATTTTGTACATGTTCTCAACTTTTTGTACAAATGTCTTCAAACTTGTACATGCATGTTGGTGTAGATAATTGTGCTTCTTTCCAAAAAGTACCAATTTATCAGTTCAGTTTTAAAGTACTTTTTTCATTAACCTGAATATATTAATTTTGCATCATTCCGTTTAAACTAACAAGCACTAAGCACTCTGGGATATGAACAATTAAGTTTATTTTACATTATAAAAGTCGGAATAAAGCTGAATATATACCAGAATCGTGCATAGAAAGTATATTGTCTAGAATATTGGAATCCTGATAGTCTGATGGATGGGTAACTATGTTACCATTGGTTGTTCTCTGGTAATCTTGAATGTTCTGAAAAAGTTCATACAAAGAAATGTAGAAATGTTAATAAATTAAAGTTAACATTTTATTATTAGCATGTCTGGGATTGCTCAACATTTGTTTGGCAGACTGACAACCAATCACGTAAATGATAATGAAATCAATGTTGATTAGTGACTAAACCTTCTAGGCCACACTTTTGAAACGTCACAAAGCCTAGTTTCATGAAAAGGCCTGTAGTTGCGTACCAAGTCTAGTTGGTAACGAAGTGGTATTTATGAAATATTACTAGCTTTATTTACATATTAAGAGTTGATCTAGGTAACAAGTAGTCACTGTTACTTAACTGACCTTTATACAAGGGATAATGCAAATCACCAGGTTAGTTGCGCACAATACTAACATTCCATGAAGGGAATACATGTACCATAACCAACACAAGTTGCCAAATTCTTTTTCGGAAGCACATTCTAGGTCGTCAAATGAAATATGGCTGTCCAAATTGAACTGCGTAACTCGCTAATTGATTTGTTTGGGATGGAGCAATATGGAGTATCTCATAAATGGCACACATGTTAAATTACGTGGTATACAATGCGTCGGTGAATAAGGTACCACTGTTGACCAACCTTCAAAATGTAAGAAAACAGCCTACCTCTATAATATCACTAACTGGGTATGTTACAACCTTGTTTTTTCTGATAGCCATGAGTATACGTGCACCTTTGTTTCTTGAGCCTGGATAAATTAATCAAGATTAATATTATATACTAAAAATTTATTGTGAGCAATCATTACAACTTGTTCAAGTAATTGTACACTGCCAGGAATTCTTGTAATGCATTGGAATATCAAAAATCACATTTCGAATTTCGTTAAAAAATATTGGAAAATGTGGAATCACTGTTTAGCTCCGATGTCGACTTTACTGATACTCAAAATTGATACTCGTGAGATTGGCGCCGATTGCAAATGTATTTATATTTGCTGTGGTGAAATGTTTACATTTGAAACCAGCTTAATGATATCATTACCACTTAAATTACATCACTTGCTGCCCCTACCCTCGTCATTCTATGGCTGTACGAGATTTACCTCTGTCAAACCTTGTCCAGTCATAGTATTCAACTTTCGATGGAACTGGTCTAGCATGAAATAATCCGATGAATCGTAAATAGTAGCCTCCACCGAATGATGACAATGAGTGTTGTGATTTCGGAACTTGCTTAAAAGTTAATGGAGATGACACTCTTCTCCAAGCTCCATATTATGATTGTCTGTTTCACTGTGAAAAAAAAGACTGAGTAGGTTCATATTTTACTTCAATTATATGCTTGAAACACATTTTGCTACTTCAAGTAAAACGATACACCCACATATTAGAAATGTCTAAATTGTACTACCGTTCTGAAACATGTATATTCATTTGATATGACAAATAAGTTTAATACTCGTGAGGGGAGGGGGTCATAGTACCCTATACCGACAGGATGTTATGCTGCATTTCGTGTACTGTTTTTTACTAGAACTGTCATCCAAATGTGTATTTTCCCGATGACCA